TAAATAAATAAATAAATAAATAAATAAATAAATAAATAAATAAATAAATAAATAAATAAATAAAAAGAGTAGATGAGGGCGGACCGATCCGCCTCCTGGACCAGAACCCGCTAATCCTACCAAATACCTACGTTTAATTCTTCAGGCGGATGTTAAATTATAGATATATATTTATGTATTTATTTATCATTTTTTTCTTGTATAAAAATAGGTTTGACCATATTTTATTTTATATGAATTAAATGCTTTTATTTTCCTGCTGTGTTTATAAAAACACAATGAAAGCAAACAGAAGCGCTCAGAGCGCTGCATTCATTTCAATTCTATTCAGTGTGTTTCTATAGCACCAATTCATGACACGTCATCTCAAGGCACTTTACAATTCACCAGATTATCCAGTCAGATTTAAAAAAGTTTAAACTTTTTTTAAAAAGTTGAATTTGTCCAGGGATCTGTTCCAAACCAAATTTCTTTTGGTTTTACACTTGTGTAAACAAAATGACAAATAAAATCTGTCTATGTTAATTCAAAGTTTTCTATCTAATGAAAACCAGTTGATTGCATCAACTCATGCAATCCCTCACACTAAGCATGCCTGTAGCAACAGTGGAGAGGAAAAACTCCCTTTTAACAGGATGATTTAGCAATAGAATAAAAGTAAAGGATCAACCAGTTTTAATTTTTTCACAGGAAACTATATTTAAATATAAATATTGGGAAGAAGTCTCAAAGACTGTGTAGGCAATTGATTTAATCCTGAATCTCCCCAGGTTGTCTGGTCAGAACAATGATGACAGTCAGTTGCACTCATGCCACTCTTTATTGAAGTTGTGCAGATCTAGATGACAATTGTTCTTTGAGCCTCTTTTTTTCTTATTATTTCTTTTTTTGTTAATGGTTTTGACAAAATACAGAAATAAATTAAAATAAGTACCTGAAGAAACAACACAAGCATATCAAATCTACCTAGAATAGAAATGAACAAGCAATGTATACAGAATGCAAATAAACCCAATATGTTACAAGAATTATTGATAAATAACAGAGTCTATAAAATTAAGAGATAAACAAAGAGAAAATGGGACTATTTATGCCAATTCTCGCCAAATAGACTAAATTCCTACAGCACTTAAACGCCTCATTGGATACGAGGGAAGATAATACGGTAAATGTAAGCTTTCCAGTGGTATATTTTGCATCATCAGCACAGCTTACGTAACATAAAGAAAGCTATACCAAATTAGAAGCAAATGAGCTAAATTAACACATTTTCAGTGAGAGATATGATGAAAGTAGTCATTACTGTGTCAAATTGTGTCAAAAATAAAATAAATTAAAATAAAATAAATAAACAGTTTAATTAAGTAATATACCAGACAACTTAGGAGAGGGAACTCAGTAACTCAGTATATTTCTTCAATTAACCCGAAAATTAAAAAGGAAATCTTCC